CATTGCAAAAGATTAAATTTACGATTTGTCCTCTAATTCGTTTAATTGAGATATTTTATGTGTATGTGTGTGTCTATATATATATATATATATATATATATATATATATATATATATATATATATATATATATATATATATATATATATATATATAGTCTTGTATTCAGGAAATATTCTGGCTTGGGAAAAGGTTTTATTAGCAAATGCTTTCCATGTCCTAATGCAAAAGAAAACAAACATCCAATCCTTGGTTACATTTGAACTCCCACATCTTTTTCTTGCAATTATTAAAAATAGCAAATTTATTAATGATCTTAATGCCAATTTAACCCAACTTTAGCTCTCACAATTCATGGCACGATTTTTGAGCTCCTTCAAAAAAAAATAATGACCAAAAATTAATTTTAAAAAAAAGTGAGCTTCTATACCAATCAATCCCCAAAAAACCAAAAAAATAAAAAAGAATAGTCAACCCGTGGGACCCGCTCCCCCCTCTCCTCTCTGAGAAGAAGTCAAACCACTTTTAACGGAACTAACTGCCGAAGCCTCTCCTTCTCCATTCTTCCCTTCCTTATATATTTCTCTTCTGCTTTCTTTCCCTTCATCCTCCATCGATTCCATCTACATCGATCTCATCCTTCCCAATCGCTTCATGGCACGGCAACAGCTCCTCCTCATCGCCGTTCTCACTCTCCTGGCTGTCACAGTCTTCGTCGGTGCCGATGACTCGACGCCCTCTGCCTCATCGCCATCCGTAGGTGTCGACTCCGTACCAAGCGTCTTGACCCCGATTGCCACATCGCCGCTCCCGGACAGTGCCGAGGCTCCTTCCGGGGACCATGGCATCGAGGATAGCGATGCTGGCGGCGTCGGAGCTCCTCTCGGCACCCACCCCACCGAGCCAGAGAGTGAGTCCACCGCCAAGAGTGACGCCTCCCTCATCGGTGTAACCTCCAAGGCAACTGTCATGATCATTTCTGTTGCTGGCTACTTTGTGTTCTAAGTGGCTTATGCCATGATGTCATCTCATTTTGTTTAAGATAAAGGAGGATTATTGAGAAAATTGCATTATGTCTCTAATGGTCTTTAAGAAAAAGACCATTCATCCTTGTCAAGTTTAATTCTGTCATGGTTCCAACTAATTAATATCTTAGAACATATGCACAAGTTAGCATAAATTAAATATATCTAATCAAAATATCAAAAAGAATTTAAATGAAAAAGGATGCAGAAGTAATTATTGTCATAAGGATGGGTCCCACTCCAAAATAGGACTAAAATCAATCATAGAGAAGAAAAAAACAATTAAAATGATAATATAATTATTAAATGAAAGAAAGGATTAAAACGACTAATTAATAGCTACGATAATTTAATCGAGTCAAAACCAAATCCAAATCCAAATCCAATTCCAATTCCAGCCGAACACTAACCCCAATCTAATCCGATTCGAAAACTAATCCACCCGTTAGATGAATCGTTCCGATTCCCGAACTCGGCCCGGCAAGTATCCGAATCGTTACCGAGAGGAATCTATAAATTAGTCACGCGATTCTCTGTAATTAGGGTTTAAGGAAACAGCTTCAAGTCGAGGACGCAAAACATAGCCCGATCGAGCGAGCATCGATCGCCATGCTTGCTTCCCTCGGCAGCTTCCTCTCTTCCCTGCCCTTCCTCGTCCCCCCCACGGAGAAGCCCCCGCCTCCTCCCCCCGTCCCTTTCCCGAAGCCTAAAACCGATGGGTTCCCTCCCGCCTCCATCCGCAGCTCGGCCCCTGTTCGGCCCCCCTCGGAGGTGACAATGCCGGCGGAGAAGGAAGGGCTCGTCTGCAGCTGCTATCCATCCTTGGCATTGGCTAACCTGTTCTACGCCCGGGGAGGGTATTACAACGCGCAGGTGGTGGTCGGGGAGGACGAGCCGGAGGAGGTGCTGCTGCGGAGGTTCAAGAGGGAGGTCATGAAGGCCGGGGTCATCCAGGAGTGCAAGAGGAGACGTTGGTTCGAGAACGAGCAGGAGAAGAAGAAGCGCAAGGCCCGTGATGCGGCCCGGAGGAATCGGAAGAGGTCTGCTCTTGGTTCATCTCATCTTCTTTGTTTTTCCCAAAACCCTGATTTTTATGATTTGTAAAGCTCTTTTATTTAATCTCCATATCTCTTCTTAGAATGGAAAGACAGTGATTAATGTTTGATCTCATCTTGGTTACTCGTGCTTTTAGAGATTTAGGTTGTTGAATACTTACGATTGAATTATACTCTGTGCAAATAGATATGCCAACATGACTATATTTCTCAGCATAAAAAATTAGAGAGAGATTCCTTTTAGCATCCACAATTTAGTCGGTGTTGATCTACTTTCATTACTTGGGCATCGATTCCATGGTCAGGTTTGGTTGTAGGTTTCGGTAATAAGCGGAAGCAATGGGGTTTGAAACGGATATCATCAGTTTGTGGACACAATGATCGTGTTAAATAGCATGTATAGGTTGTTGCCTGAAGTCTGAACAATCACGTATTATCTGCTTGCCTTTGGACGGCTAATCCATTGAATCGATTCATACTTCTGCCTGTCTATTAGCCTTGACCTACACCTAGCTTAGATCATAATGCTGGGCAGCTAATCAAGTGTGTTTGTTTTCTCTTCTTGTTCTTCCTAAAATCCTTTGCATGTGAGTTTGTTGGTGTTACAGAATCCACCTTCAAGAAGCAAGTTAATCATCAGATGTTTTAGTCACGTTAAAATGCAATGACAGGGATTTAAAAAGTAGTGCTTTCTTGCTAACTCATACTTTTAGAGGTTTAGGTTACTCAATCCTTTTTGGCTTGATAGTTAGTCTCATTACTTTGACATAATTGTGAAGCTATAACGTATCATCAGCTTGATATCGCTCAAGATGAAAATGGAAAGGTGGTTCATTATTCTGCTATTGTTTCTGGGGTTACGACTTATATTTTAGCTGAAAACAAATATTTTCAATGAAGGTACTTGGTTTTGTTTTGGATGTCACAATTTGTAGAAAATGGTTTTGGAAATTAGTCTATTATATTCTTGTTTTCAGTGAACACTCTGTTTAGACAAGTCATGATTGACACCATGGCTGTTAGCTCTTGGTGAGCCTTGACTTGTGCTTTGCTTACAACCTTAGTTCATAAAACTGCTACTTGGTTGCTTCTGAATGATAAATATTCAATAGCAGTGTGCAACTTATTTTGCTTTGGAAATTCTTCTAAAATATTTCAACTTTGTTTGTCTCCAGACATTAACTACTTGCTCCTATTCTTTTCCTCCACTAATTTCAGGCGTTATCAACCAAAAGTCCGTAAGCAAGATAACCAGGAAGAACCAAAGGCAAACATACGGGAGGAGGAGGAGGAGAAAGACAATTGGGAAATTCCTGAAGGAGAACTTCCTTATTGCACCTAGGATGCCTTAGTGGAGGAACCTGCAGTATTTTCATGGTTTTGTTTTTGAAAGCCATTTAAGCTAGAGTTAGCTACTACTAACTGATGCCGATGTGTTTTGTCCTTTCTTTCTCCTTTATGTTTTTTTTTTTTTCTCTTTTCGAATAAAGCAATGGTATGAAAATGACAAAGGTCTTAAACATTTGGTGCCTGTATATTATGATACAATATCTATTGATGGTGCCTCCTTCAAGTTAATTTTCCAGGTTAACAATGTGATGTCCACTTAGTTGCCTATTCTTTATGATTTTACTTTTATCAGAAAAGGGAAGTTGTATTATTTCTTGGGGACACTCACAGAAATTTTGTCTTCATCCTCTGGTCCTAACAATTGGTTAGGACATGTTATAACTCTGCTGCATTGTCTGTTAGCTTCAAATTATGAAAGAATTGTGACAATATTTTTAATTCATTATAAAATCAAAAATTCATTACTATCATTTTAGACAAAATATTTTGATAGAATTGTGAAAGTTTGAAATTGTATTGTCCAAGATGACCCGTTACACTAAAAAATAGTGAGCTACAATAAACTCAGCTTATCCAAAAAACACATAAATTTGGATTAAAAAATCTAAATTTATAATAAAATAAACAAATAGTTAAGATAGTTTAGTTGAAGTTGACATTGTTACACTAAAAAAAGAATCGAATTATGCTAATTCACGTATCTTTAGAAAACACATCAAATTTGATAAATAATTATCTTGAGTCATCAAAAAATAAAATCTACTAAAATCCTCGATAGAATCATGTTCTAAATAGAATTACAAAAATTATGAAAGCTTGATATCGTTTGATGGAATTTAACATGTTACACTAAAAAATGAATTAGAATGCACTCGTATCACATAATCTTTTCTTTTTAAATACATCAAATTTAATAATTAATTATCTTAAACTCATCATAAGATGTAAAAACTGATATCGTCCTCATTAAATATTCTAGTAGAATCATAAAATTTTATGATAATTTGGTCAAAGTGGACCCTATAATATTTGTTAATGAATCAAATTACACATAACATACCTAAAAATGTGTCAAATTTGATAATTAATTATCTTTAACTCATCAAAAAAATTTCACTCGAGTGCAAATATTATTTGTATACAAAATCTATCAAAAAATTACTAAATTAATTGTTTGTTTATTATAAATTTATCAGAAAATGAAAATTAGTAAAATCCTTGTTAGAATCATGTTGTAGTAAAATTGTAAAAGTTTGAGTTGAATTGGTCGAATTTGACCTATTTATTACACTTGAAAATGAACTAACTTACGCATTCATATAATTTACCCAAAAATATATCAATTTTATTTAATCATCCTAAATTCACAGTAAAATTTTAAAAAATAGTACATCCTTATTAGAATTATTTTATGATAAAATTATAAGAGTTTGAGATAGTTTGATGGAAGCTGACTCCTTTACACTTAAAAATAAATTAAATTATACTCGTCCATAAAATTTATCCAAAAACATGTCAACTTTGATAATTAATTATCCTAAAATCATAAAAAAATTACTTAAATCATTGTTAGAACTATGTTCTGAAAGAATTTTAAAAGTTTGAGGTCATTTGCTAAAAGTTTTGTTTTTTGGTAAGTCATTTGGGAAAAGTTGATTTGCCACAGTTGAAAATTACCTCAAATACAATCATTCATAGTACTTATCCAATTGAGGATTTTACAATCAAGTATTTATCAGGTTAAAATTAAGTGTACTTACGTTGGACTTTTATATAAAATACTTTAAGCTGGTATTTCCACACCCACATATGATTGTAGTACTCATTCATGATATTTTTTTTATATTTTTAAAGTATTTAAAAAATATTATTTATTAAAACTTAAAATATATCGGAGGAGAAGATGAAAACAAATAGCACGAGGATGGAGAGATAGAGGAAAAGAGTAGAAAGTAAAGATGGATAGGATGGAGAAGGCAAATGAGGAGAGGAGAAGCGAAAGGAAAGTGAACGGAGGAGGTTGAATAATTTGAAATGATAATGTTATTGTTATGATTGTAAAGACACTAGCATGGAAAGAGGTGAATTAGAGCTTTTGAAATAAAATTATAATTTAAAATTTTTTGATTGAAAAATATATATTAGAAATGTACTTAAGAATACGAGTAAGCAACTAAATCAATTAGTAAAAGAAAAAGTATAAAGAGAAATATAAATTAGATTTATATTGGTTCGATTGTCCCAACCTATGTCCACTTCCAATTTCTCTTTTCTCGAAGCCACTAACTTTCACTACTAATCTTTCTTTCAATGGGCGAAGATAAACTATCCTTGTTATGACTTTTTCTTCTTTTCGCATGTTTAGAAGATAACCTTAATATATCTCTTTTATAAGAAAACACCGTACCTCCCATGACCTTTAAACTTAAGGAGGAAAAGACTCGACACTTTTTAAAAGGGTTTGCACACTTCAAATTATAAAGTTTTCATGCTTTCACCAAGCAAACATGAGTGTGATATTTATAGACCCCAAATGACTTTAAAAATAAAGTAAAAAATTTAAATCTTTGGGTTTTCGGGATACTGACGGTACTATCGCTTGCGTCGGGTAGTACTATCGCCATACAAAGCCTGGGAACTTAGGCTCTGACGACACCATCGCTTACTTGGGCGGTACTACGACGTGGCAGAGCTTGGGAACCTAGGCTCTAGTGGTACCACAGCTTGTTTGAGCGGTGTTATCGCTTGACAGATCTTGAGAATCTTGACTCTAGCGATACCCCAGCTTGCTTGGATGGTACTATCGTTGGGATTCTTGAAAAAGTACAATTCGTGTTTTTCAACTCACAAGCGATACCACCACTTGGGCTTGACGATACCACTACTCAACCTAACCCAACCCCAGGTCATTAAATTGGCCTTCCAAAAGGCCCAATTCGATCCTGGTTTAAGCCTAATAGATTCTTAATCAAGTTGGTATCGTTACGCCCCAAAATCAATTTAATTAGACTATAAATGATATCAATTAAGACTTAACAACTCTAATTATAATTCGACATATTATATGTTTATCCGGCACTTCGTTCGAACCTCCGACGCATCATCCTTTCCTTCGACGTATTGCCCGATCTATCGACATGTTGACCTCCCACAACATCCGATTTTCTTAGCGTAATACCCGATCCTTCTGGCACGATGCTCGAACTTATGGCACAGAGTCCATCATCCGATATATCGACAAATCCTCCAGCTCGACGTCCAATCTTTAACACGAAGCTCTTTGGCCAATGTTTGATTCTCCTATTTTAACGATTTGTTTTTCAATAATTCAAGTCATGATCGAAGTTTCTCCAACGTTACTTATCTCAAACGCTTATTAGTCTATAAACTCATCAATCAATTTTATTATCAAAATTCAGGATTCAACAATTATAATGATGAATGAGATCAGAGGTAATTCAATATACCCATGATCAATATATTATATTGAATTAGATTAGGGGTTGATCCAGATCAAACCAATTCAATAGAAAAGAATGTGATGATAAATTGCCTTGATGTTGTTTAACATTATTAAAAGAATGATAATTCATCCAAATGAAATAAATAAAAAAATCTAAATAAAACTAATTATGAGGATATAAAAAATAGTGGAGATTTTTTTGGAAAAATTCCTTGAGTTTAAACAAAGTAATGTTTTTAATTAAAATAAAATATATTTATATCTTTACTAATTGATATAAAATTGCTTGATAAGTCACTTACCAACCTGAGAAAAATGCCAGCCAAATATGTGTTCTTGTAACCTAAATATAATTTACACCCTGTCAAGAAACGCGTCGAACCATACGCGCCTCAAGCCAAGTGGGCTCCGCAGCTACCCAACCACTTCTCCGGTACGGTACGGTACGGGTGCTTTAATAGATCATATACAAGCGATCCATTGCGGTCCAAAGATAGCTTAAGTCGGCGTGTTCACGTCGCTCCCGTAGTCGTATCCAGAAAGGAAACCCTTCTCGCTTTTTCCTCTCTGTGTCGAAAACCTCGAGTCCTCCTCTCCATCGGCGACTCGCGGAATCCTTCAGCAGGTCGGTGTCTTCGCGTCTCTCTCTCTCTCTCTCTCTCCCCCTTCTCCTCGATTCCATCTCAATCGGGCTTTTCTCCGTGCCTTTTACCCTTCAGATTTCTTGATTCGTGGTGGAGTTCGCTTTGTGCCCATCGATTGGGCGCTAATTTTGTGAGATTTGTAAGTGGTTCCACATCTCTTCATCGCTTGGTGAATTCTAGGGTTTCGTCGCTCCTGGGTTTGTTTCTTGCTTTCGCCCCCTTTTCGATTTCTAGGGTTTCTTTTGGTCAGTAGTCGGATTTTTTTGGGGTTTCCTCACGTTATGGCTGCTGGTCGACATGGTGGGTACCGGGATCATGAGTTCAGGGACCGGGAAGCAGATGTAGAGGTCTCCAGGAGGAAGAATTATTATCGGGATCGGCTCCGTGATGGGGCTCGCGATAGGGACCGTGATCACGGTGGCCGGGATATGCGTGATAGGGCTAGTACCTGGCAAAGAGGCATCCGGAAGATGGAAGCGGTGAATGGCTCCTGTCGCTCCCCCTTGTCGAGCAATTCCAGTGGCGGAAGCGGGAAAAGTCAGAAAAGGATTCGCCTATCTGCGAGAGATGTCGAACGTGAAGCTGGGGAGTTGTCTAGTGGGAGTGGATCGGATGATACTGAAGCACCTCTTTCAGAGGTCAGGGAGAATGGGACTCAGAATTATGAGACTGGTGATCCTTCCATGTCTACTGGGAAACGGAAATTTTCTCCGATTGTTTGGGATAAGGATGAAAATAAACAATCCACGGTTGTAATGTCCAGAGTTAAGAGCAGCAATCTCGAAAACGTTACCTTGCCTCCACCGCCTCCATTGCCTCCAAATTTCATACCACCACGGTCTATTACCATTGTTCAACCGTCTGTTGGGGATACATTGCCTTTAGATGTAGATGTCCATGTAGACTCAGCTCGGGAACATCTGCTGAATAATAGTCAGGAGACCACGTTGCTAGATGACTATGAAAAGGAACTTTCACCTGCTCGGAGTATTTCTATTTCCAGATGGGCAGACGGAAACTATACATTCCACGATGCTGAAGATGAATATTTTGAGGATGCTGTGCCCAAAAGAAGAAAGACTGTCTTATCTGATTCTGAAGGCCAAAAATCGCAGGAGACACCTACTCCTGAGCTAGGTGAGATTATCATGAGAGAAGATTCTGTAGTGGCTTTGTCTAAGTTGTCTGATTCAGAAGGAGAGGATGGAGATGATGACCAGGGGGTTGAGGTAGATAGGAATGATTATATGGTGGCCAATGGCAATGAGTCTAATGCAGACACAAATGATCAATTGTCTGAAACCGACTCTGAATCTGAGGACATTAGGGCCAAGATGTCAGAGCCCAGACAGCCACCCCAAAGATGTATAAACATGCTCCAAGGTTGTAGAAGCGTTGATGAGTTTGAGAGGCTGAACAAAATAAATGAAGGCACGTATGGTGTTGTGTACAGAGCAAAGGATAAAAAGACTGGGGAGATAGTGGCACTGAAAAAAGTGAAAATGGAAAAGGAGAGGGAGGGATTTCCACTGACCTCACTTAGGGAGATAAATATTTTGCTTTCTTTTCATCATCCTTCGATTGTGGATGTTAAGGAAGTTGTAGTTGGTAGCAGTCTTGATAGTATTTTTATGGTTATGGAATACATGGAACATGATTTAAAGGGGCTGATGGAGACCATGAAGCAGCCATTTAATCAGAGTGAGGTAAAATGCTTAATGTTGCAGCTGTTTTCAGGTGTCAAGTACCTTCATGACAACTGGGTACTCCATAGGTACTCTCAGATTCCAGTTTTAGCATTTATTGCCGTGCTTTTGCCTCTATTTTTGTTTGTTAAATGACTTCTCCTTCATCTAGGGATTTGAAGACATCAAATATTCTGTTAAATAATCGTGGAGAGTTGAAGATATGTGATTTTGGTTTGTCTCGCCAATATGGCAGCCCATTGAAGCCATACACTCACTTAGTGGTGACATTATGGTACAGGTATGTGACACTTTAATCTGTGTTCTTACTTCTTAAGGTTGTTTTTACTCATCTGTTTCTTGTTTTATGGGGATGGTGGTGAGTGATTTTGTAATATCTGTTATTATCTTAGTTGTTAGAGCAATCAACTGCAATTGCTTCCAAGTTGCATCGGTCTTCATCTTAGCTCTCATACTCCACTTTCTTTTTTATGATAGGTCACCTGAACTTCTATTAGGAGCTAAGGAGTATTCAACTGCTATTGACATGTGGTCCTTAGGGTGCATAATGGCCGAACTTCTAGCAAAGGAACCCTTATTCAGTGGAAAAACCGAGTTTGATCAACTTGACAAGGTTTTCCTTCACCTCCTAAAACAGCTATTTCTCATTTGTGCAAACTTTGAATATGTAGTTGTTTATCTACTCTAATGTAAAATGTTTTCTTGCAGATATTCAGGATGCTTGGTACACCCAGCGAAAAGATTTGGCCTGGATTTTCTAAATTACCTGGTGCTAAAGTTAATTTTGTCAAGCAACCGTAAGTCTTAAGTCCTGCATTTCCTTGTTTGGTTATTGCATATATCATTAATTTCTAGTCTCGTTATTCACCTTCATTCTCATCATTAACACCATGCTTTTCCAGGCCTCGAGCTATGGATGATCATGCCTAAGCTTTATGGCTTGCTTTGGTGGCACTAGCACTTAGGTGAAGTGTCTTTGATAATTTTAATTCATTTAGCAAATTGTTTCTCCATCTTGCAGGTATAATAAACTACGAGAAAAGTTTCCTCCCATTTCTTTTTCTGGACATCCAACCCTGTCTGAAGCTGGAATTGACTTGTTAAACAAACTTCTGGCATATGACCCAGAGAAGGTAAATATTAAGATCTTGAATCAGGTTTCTTGCTGAAGAAAGATCTCATCTTGCTAATTTTTCAGCTGACAAATGTTTGGTGGCTTATTTTTGGATGCAGCGAATAACAGCGGAGGCTGCTCTTAATCATCAGTGGTTCTATGAGGTTCCTTTGCCAAAGTCAAAGGATTTTATGCCTACTTTTCCAGCTCAACATGCTCAAGACAGGTGTCCAAAGCTGCTCAATAAACAAATTTTAGGGCTTCCTTGTATCCAGTCATCTGTGACTCATTTGGATCTTTGTTTCATTTGATATCAGGCGTCTGCGAAGAATAATGAAGAGCCCTGATCCACTTTCAGAACAACGGAAGAAGGAATTGCAACAGGCTGAACTAGGTGTTTCTAGTCTCTTTGGTTAGAGGATAAGTACAAGACATTTCTGGTGGTCTTTGCTGTGAGTACCGAGTAACCCCTGCATATTTAGTCAAGGATCCTTGTTCAAGAATTACTTAGGTGACATTGTGCAGCTTTGTTAGCGTCAGGCAGTGGTTGACAATGTTTAGCAGGCATCACTTTGGTGTGGATGGTGATAAAGGATACTATTTTCCTTTTTCCATCAAAACGATACCTATATCAAGGAAATTTTCACTTAAGCAGCAGTAACGATAAAGCTCACCCTTTATGTTGTGGATATTTTATCTCGGTATGACTAGTTCCATAGGAGATTTGTACATGTAACAAATTTGTTATTGGCACATTGTAAATGTTGCTTATGATGACTGGATTAATACCAATTATTAATTGAATGTTGACTATGCTTTCGTGAAACTATTTTTGATCGGTCGTGCTGTGTTTGCAAGAGTTAGCTGGTTGATGCGGTTGGAGATTGTTGCTTTTAGTAACCAAGGAAAAGGTCAAAACTTCGTACTCAAAAGGTAATCCTCTGCCTGATGTTTTAAGATAGGAGAAGAATGGGTTTTCCATCTTTATTGGTACAGTTTTGACTCATGATTGTAAGCAAGATAATCCTTTCGTATGCATATGCTTATGATCTGATACTTGAAGGCTTGTTCAGCTTTATGATTGTAAAATATTTTTGTCCATCAATCCTGCTGCTTTCCAATCAATAATGACCTATATCAGTTGAAAATTTTTATTGTAACTACTAAACCAAACCTGTAAATTATTCGTCAGAAGGAACATGCATGCTTTCTCAGAGCTGATTTGATCTTTTATGGGTTGACATTGTCAACACTGAAACAGAGAAATATAACATGTAAGTTTTACATGAGGATTTGTATTTCTGTGGAGCTTATGGTTCATAATTGAGTACATAGTTGGTAATTTATGAATTTGACTAATTGCATATGATGTGGTGTATGAGAAACCAACATGGTTTGGTTACCAAACAGAATATGAGGAATGTGTTTCCACTTTAGTGGTTGAAATTAATGAAGTTGCAATAGAGGATTCAACAAGTAAAAGTTGGAAAGTGGTAAAAAAAAAAAATTGGGGCATTTTTAAAAGCAATGACTTCATGAAACATGACAGCTAGAGTACCGGACCCTGTTAAGAACAATGCTCTATGCAAATATTGTTATTGTTATGGATGTTATATTCATGTGAATATATCTGCCATAGTTTTAAAATGCTAGTTTAGTCAATAGACTGCACCGTATATACCATAGCCGGTGGCAGTATGCTGCTATTCGCATGTTGTGGCATTTGCAGCTGCATAAGTGAGTCTCTTCACATATACGATGGAATGTAGTTCTGTTGTATAATATTATATATTATATTATGTGCCTTCAACTCTGCTCAGGTGCTAACATATATTGTAGAGGTTTCAACTATCTGCCTGTTACTCTGGTAAACATATTTCACATATGGCCTTTATGGTCTTTATTTGAATTCTGCCAGAAATTCTGCCACTTTTTGGATAACACTGGTTTACACAAATTCATTACAGATTACTTCAATCTCGGTATGTTCATTGCACACATATATATGAATATGTGTCTGTGTGTATATGTGGTCGATTTAGTTGTTATATTACTTGGCAATCGACATGATTATTTTGGTTACTATCTCCACTCAAATGAAGCGGTGCTTTCTTGCAGATATAAGCTAATATTCTGTATGATTTTATTTGATTTGTCAGGTGTGGTGGTGTTGTGATGACTCTTTTGAGTGTGGGGATCGAGAGTGGTGGGCTTTGTTATAGTGGGTATTCCTATTAAAGCATAACTCATCGTACTGGGCACGATTTTATATTTGGCTTTCCCCTGGTACAACTTTATTTTCTTTGAAAACTTTTTTTTTTTTTTCGTTGGCAATCTGATTGTTTGTTGAAATATCATCATTCTTGTATTTGATTTATTTCCAATTTTTCGGGTGGTTCCCAGTCAATTTAATTTCCAATCAATTTCTTGATGCACTTAACACAACAAGATAAGATAGGCAATGACCAAAGAGTCGTAGTTGTGAAGGATTAAGGATATGATGCATACAGGCGAGACATTGAGTGCCGTATGCTTTATGGGGGATTGTGTGCTTGGCATGTGGTAAAAACCCTTCTGGATGCTAATCATTTAGCTACTTGGATGGTGGTCGCATTTAATTCTTTTTCTTACTGCTTTGTGCTCCTTAGATTATGCGCCTATGAGATCTATGCGAAACATGTTAGAGAGGGGAGGGGGAGATGTGGTACCGACTGTGTTCTTTTACGAGTTGTTTGTTGTCGAGGACGTTTAATTTTTCGAATGGTCCAACGACAAATTAAATGCCAAGTGCTTTGGTCTAGAATGCTATTGTGGAAGTCTGAGGTCTATGGTTATTTGATAGTGGTCTTGTAGCTTATCGAAAAGCGTTATATAGGGTTGCTCGGTTGGTCCTCTGGTCCGTCCTTTATTCTTGTAAAGAATAAAAGGGAAAAATAGTTTTATGATGATTGTTTGTTTATATTCTTGTAGTGAACTATCTCTGATGTGAGGAAGTGCGGTGCAACAATACACTGTTCGGTAAAGCTGGTAATCTGAAATATAACAGTGCAAGACGTCTGCGCATCTTAAAGGTGAAGCTGATCATTTTTTTTTTTTAATTACGACGGCCAGTAGCAACAGTTTGCATTCAGTTTATTATATTTTGTTTTGGCAACGTTGCTGGAGAACTTCGACAACGTATTTTGCTGGAGAAAAAGGACTTCACGGATCAGAAAGGCAATTTATCTCGATAGGGGCTTACATTTGTTTTAGGTATGTAGCGTTATCCAACTTCACAATACTTTCTCTCTCTTATGTCGCTTGAATTATTACCCTATGCGGCTACATGCCTTTTTCTATTCTTAAGCTCTTTTGTTCTTCCCCCCCTTCCCTTCTCTTCCCTTTAGAAGGCGCTTAAGAAAAAGGATCAAAAATTAATGGAAAGGCAAATGAACCTATAGGTTTCCTTTTCTACAGTCTGCCCATAGAAGATATAGATTCGAGAGTTTCTGTCTAATTTCTCTGCCCATCGGCAACAACAGAAAGGAGATGATAGCTTGGCAAAAAGGAGAGAGAGAGAGAGAGAGAGAGAGAGAGAGAGGGATGCTTGTAAAACGAAGGAGACGTGTCAGTGTGAGCAGGAGCATTGGGCGGTGGCAGATGCAGCCTTGTAGCTACGTTCCCATTGGTCCGTCGGCGGGGCCTCAGCATGCGGAGCGTGGCGAGGGTGCTTCTCTCTCTTGTCCCCCTTGATCTGCTTCAGGCCATGTTTCAGCCCCGGCACCAACGCCTCCATGCACTCGGCAACCGCGTTTGGGTTCCCGGGCATGTTGATGATCTAAAGATGCCAACAGAATCTCATCAATAGAAGTCAAATCAAAAAATTGGTTTCTGCTTGCTGACGCATGGAGAACATGTGAAAGGGAATTTAGAAACAATGGTTTCTAAATATAATTAACTACTATTAGTAGAGTAAGATTAGGAGGAGCATTACTAATGTTGATCCTCTGATCCCAGCTGCAGCCCGTGAAAGCATCGCGAATGGTGTCACCTGTTTGCCCCAGTCCAGTGAAGAACACCATAGTTAGACAGACGACTTCAGGACAATATCCAAAATAAATCAAGTGTAAGATATTGAACTGTATCAGACTTTTGGATCACCCGATAACAGTTCAATGTAATGTCATCATGCAACACTATGATTTCCACAACACTGATGAAAAAATAGATCCCTGCTACTAGCATCGGATACCTTACCTTGAGACTCTCTTGAAGCATCACGAATGAAAGACCAGGTGTTTCTTTCTGGATCACCGCCTTTGTAGCCTCAGGTGTCACATCCCTTGGAGTACAGCCAGTGCCACCTATCACAGAACAAAATAAAGATGACGAGAAATGATGCATGAACATGAAGGCTTCTTGACGCTTGAAAAAAAAAAGATTGTCACCTAAAGTAAGAATGAGGTCAACTTTATCGATATCACTCCATTTAAGTAGGGTGTTCTTGATTTTGTCAACTTCATCAGGAACCACAGCTGTTGCTACCACATGGGCTCCTCCCAGCTTTTCGGATAAAGAGTTCACCACGGAAACTGCCCTTGGACCACTGCAGCCATTGAAGTTAACAGATTGTCATCACTGCCGTACAAAGTAAGAGTCTAACACTAAGTCCTCTCGATTGGAGATATAGTGGTCAACATTATCGCTCAAGGAGTAATCTAGGGTATTATATTAAACATGAGACTGTCTCTCTTTGCTAATAGGAAACTCTTATTTCATAACGATTCATAATAGCCTCATAACTAATAAAGCATGGGATTTAAAAGAACTAACTTGCACAACAATACACACACACACAACTGAATATATGGAGCATTCACATTTGCTCAGTTGGCTTCTCTTGCAAAGAGCAATGGTGATTTCTCCATATTTCATTTAGCATCAAATTTGTGACCACATTGAGCTACTGATTCAATGAGGTGTATCAAGATGCATGTTCTGCAAAAGGAACATTTAAAGCAGCTAAAGCCAATGTTTAAAAAGGTTCATGGAAGACTTATACAGAAGCTTTAACAACTGTAAATATGTGAACATAACCAACTAAACAAACAAACACTAACTAACAAAAAAAAAAAGATTCCTATTTAGCAAATCAATATTTTTGGCCATTTTTGTGCAGCAAGGAAAAAAAAACAACCACAAAACATGCTCAGCATGATCCAAACAAAACACTTGTGTCATCAGTGTGTCGAGAACTCTAATTTCACAACCCAAACTAGATTCTGTAGAGGCCTCTACAAAATTTTTGCTCATAAAAGCCTCATCATAAAGTTACTTGGTATATTCTTAATTTTGGCAATCATCCAGACTTAGAAATGGTCAGTCACATATTATAAAGTCTATGGAATGCTGACTCGATTTCAAGACCACATTAGAGACTGCACGGGTAAACCCTCAAATATATGTTAAGGAGCACAAATGTAGCTATAAACTTCATGGAGAGAGATATATGTGAGAATTTGGCATCCTTTGAATCAGAATGCCTTGTGTGCCACAAGTATATCTACCTTTTTTGGATGGTTAATTGATCCCAGTTTGACCTTCGCTTCCAGGCTTCCATGTTTTAGCTGATTATATTTAAGAATGAATAGGTAGGTTATCTTCATATCATATATGAAGTAGAAAGTATGGTTTTAATTCTTCAGAAGAATCAATTATCTGACCTCTGCTTCACTGTTGTTGTATGCAGAAAAGAAACCAAGATGAGTTGGCACGAGATGACCATCTATTGAACTAAATTTAGCAAATAAGTGTTTCAACTCTCATGAAACATCATCTAACAATTCAACTAACCAAAATATCTCTATGTTTTCATTATACCATCAATGAACCGTTCCATCAGTTTCTTAACCAAAATATTCATTGAATGACGTTGTCCATTGCTTATAACTGAATTCATAAATTAGTATTTCACATAACCTGTTCATCCAAGAGAAGAAATTCCAGTAAAACGATAGCCAGTGTATTAGATAGTAAAAGTACAGAAGGAATTCTACTGGTCTGCAAACAAGCATATATATCAACCAACAAAACAAAAATTGATTAACTATATTTGTCACATTATACACTGGTGACAGAATGAACAACCCTGTGGTCTTTTTTCAACAGTCCTGAGAATCCAAACATTTCCTTTTAATAATGAACACAAATAAAACCATTCCGCAATTTCATTATTGTTTAAATAGATTAAAAAAAAAATCAAACCAAATATTAACCAACATTTCCTTATATGTAATTAGAGCTTTTTGCCTTATATGTAATTAGAACCTATCCACAATGTATTAGGCTACACAATTATGAAGACAACCAAGAATGCAGTAACAATGATTTATATATATATCACCATGAGAGTAAAATATAGCCTTTAGTTCAACAAAGGCGACAGCGTACCTCCTATCAGGGCCACTGCCAGATGAAACAGTGTCACTCACGGTAAGAATGGCTACTTTGACCATTGATTCTTGAGATGCAGCTGTGGGTTGTCTGGCAGAGCATTGCGTAGCAGGTCCATGCTGCACTGACAAGGAAGCCATACTATCAGTCAGCTTACTCATCAACAAGCTGCTAATGTCGGAGATTAGTATGGCTTGAACAGAATTTCCATCTTCAAATATCTGGCCTGTTGCTGGCAACTCTAATAATGCATTTGCAGACTTCAAACTTAAAAGGCGGCTACTCATTTGTTTTCCAGTGCTTTCAGCAATGAACCTATATGGGAGAAAATATCATCTTGATCTCCGAGGGCAATCTGAATTTGCTTTTGTACTTGCAATAACATAAACCATTATCAGTTCTTACCCAGGCCTGCCAGATCCATCATCAAGCTCCCATCTTATTATTGCACAATGATACTCTGGGCGATAGGCGTCTGATCTTATAGGCTGTGCAATCCGGGTGTGCACTCTGCATATTTCAGCTTATATATCAGTTGCTGGGAGAAGAGGCATCTGAAACAATGAACAAGAATCATCTCGAATTTCACTTGTTGAATGGAAATTTTTCTATTCTTATATCTCATGTACTTCTAGTATGAATCCCACACATCCTTTGTGGTCCAAACACAAACCTTAAAGTTTTAAGGGTCTGATCAGGATTACTTCTGTACAATAATTCTAGAATATTATAACCCATGAACAATACAAAAAAAAAAAATCCAAACACTAAGCAAAATAAAAAAGCAACATAACAAGAATCTCATCTTAATATTTCTTTTCCATTATTTTCTTTAAGAACTCAAACAAAGACTAAAAAACAAAATGATAATGAGTAATAATTCAAAAAAGAAATTAGAAGAAACTGCCAAATAGGACTTTGTGTAAAGAAGCTTCCTTGCAAGATCAAGCTGAAGTATGAATTCTTTTTTACTCATGCTAGTGATAGAATGATTTTAACCCTAACAAACCAACAAAAGAAAAGGATGATCTTAATCAAGGTTTAGGTGCTGCACCCACCACTTACCCTCTGCACAAGGTTCTAGGTGCTGCTAACTCACCTGCTTTAGTTATCTGAGTGTCTAATATGCCTCTAGTGTGACCACTACATCCATTTCTACAGACACCACTGCTATTGCCATCATTGGCTGCAACCATTGTCATCATATTCACCATTCCTACCATCACTGCTATCACCACCTTCTCTATTGCCAAAACCAACCCCACCACTTCCACAGCTATCAACATCACTACGACCATCGCCCCAACCAAACCATCATAATTATTGCCAAAGCTACTGTCATTACCACCATTGCTCCACTACTTTAACCACCAGCACTTTTGTCGCTGCAGACATCAACATTATTGACACCACACACCATTGTTGTATCCATTATTATTACCATCATCAGCAAGGGGGAAAGGTGTGGATTTCTTCCAATGTTTAGTTGGAGGTGAGGATGGGGATGAGGAAGAGGAAGAGGAAGAAATATATGTTCTATAAACAAAGGTATCACCAACTGATCATATGACAAAGTACAAATACCTCAAGTAGTATATTTCACTGTTCAATTCCATTTAAATGATCTATAGACTAAATGAAGCTAAAAATCTCCATACACCCTGTTGACAGGGACTATTAGCATAATGACACCATGAAGAAAACACCTTTACAAGTTTAGTGAACATAAAGCACATGGCCTACATGAAGACTATAATCTAAGATTCTGAAATAGACAGGAGTTAACAATAATTTTGATGTGGCATGCACGTGCTTGGCTAAACATGTAGGAGCTATCTCTATTGAGACATCAGAAACATCCAATAATTAATGCATTTTTGACAAGTGATAAGTTTCCTATACACGTAACGAAAATTTCTTCCTAATTTTTTTAAAAAGCATGTAGTAGCTCAAGGCCTCAGTGGCTTTTAGACAATAAAAGCATTTTTAACATGTACAGCACATGCTGGCTTATATACAAATAGCTTCATGATGAGAATCAAACAAATCTCAGAGAATCTTTAGTTTCATTGTGAAGAAAGTTTCACACACCATGACATTAAATTATATTGCAAAGAATGGATGAATAATGACCTCTGAAGCTGAGGATTTGCCCAACCAGAAAGACGTCGTATTGCTGGCACCGCAAAAAGATTGAAGCAAACAAGACAACTCACAGGGTTTCCAGGAAAACCAAAAGCAAGGACAGGTTTTGACAGTTTAATATTTTTTGAATTAGTAGTGATCTGAGCAAATGTTAACGGCTTCCCAGGCTTCATGAAAACCTGCATGAGTACACATATAAATCAAATAGTGAAACACAGACAAGGACTATATGACAACAAGCTTTTTGAAAATGCCCGATGAAGAGGTCCTAAATTCATATAATACAAGGACATGAAAAATGAGTAACTCACGATGATAGGAGGATCCACCAGAATAGGTGAAATAACAAGTTTGCATGCAAAGTAGTTGGGATGAGGCAGAACCTTCTAGAAATTGGTGTATCAAAAAGTTGTGTAAAATGGTTGTCGCTTGCAACAGAGTTAGATGGTCTACATTGATGTAATCACCAAAGACTATATCAGGTTTTTGGATTAATGTACCTAAGGCTCTTGATGCTAATACTCTCACTGATTATTTTCTTAGTTCCTGTACTACATTCAAGAGAAAATGTGGGAATCATATACTAGGTTATACTATACCGAATATTATAAAGCAAGCACCTCTGTAGATTCATTCTCGTGTTTTGGCATTACACAAAAAAATGTAATATAACTTAACCACGGTTCTGTCTTAAGCCTAAACAGTTGACACCTAAAACATATAACCAAAACACGAAAAGGGACTTAAATATCAAGGAC